TTATATCAGGTATTATGTTAATATATTAATAATAATTCGACCAAATCATGAGACACACTGCAGTTTTTTTAATAATGACATGTTTTGCACGAGTTTATAGGCAATACTTTTATATTTAAACATACATGTAATGGGTTTTTATTCAGGAGATTTTTTATATACTTCCTATTTGTATTTATTTTTAACATATTGCATTACAATGTTAATCCATTGATACACGAACGTAAACAAGTGCAAGTATAGTATCATCTGATAATTAAGATTTTACGTAGAATCTTATAGCTGGTCTAATAATTTGGCCAGGGATTTTATTCAGGAAAATCTGAAATTTAGTTAGGAATATTATCAAAAATTGCTGGAGATGCAAGTTCGTTAAAACGCAAAAGGAGATACAACATTAGGAATTTTAAACCATGTGTTCTATTAAATAACGTGATTGATATTACCTATTCTTTTGAAGAACTCTGTAAAAAGCATAACGCAATCTTTTGGCTACTAAATTCAAAAATGTTTGCTTAAAAAGTTTACAACTTTCACAATAAACCTATAGTTTTTTTTTATTCCTCTATCGCCTTTTGTTTCCGAGATTTTTAATTTTGAAATCAGTCCTTTGCTGATCATCCTCTATGTTCTATATTCTCCTATGTGTTATATTCTTTATGTTTACCTCACACTTTTTTCGATATTATTTCATAGTTATGTGATGATCTTATTGTGAAATAGTGACAATAAAATGTAAAAATAATTTAGAAAAAAAAATTAATCGTAACGTCATTATAGATCAAAATTAGGTTAGCATTCTATTTATCAGGACTACTTTTCCCGCGTAGCTTACAATAAAATAGTAATTATTTTTTAAAATTGTAATTTATCGTAAGTTTCATTTTAGCAAGATCATTGAATATCTGAAATAAAAAAGTTAATACAATAAAATATTGCAAAAAAATTCCAAGAAATTTAACTATAAATTAAGAAATTAAACTTTGCTACTGATTATATTTAAGATATTATTGTTCTATTTCTAAGGACTTTGGGTGAATATATATACATATATATATATATACTCAAAAGTAATATACAATAAAATTCAACTCGATATCACTATTTATAGAACGTAAACTATTATTATTTTAAGAATTAATGAAATGTTGCGGCCATTTTGATAAAGGACGCATAGCGCCATAGAGAATTAAATAAATAATCTTTGACAAAGTATGAATCGCAAAATATGTTTTTTACAATAAATCCTTCATATAGTAGGTTACAAAAGTTTTTTGTGTAGATCTAGTTAAGTATAATTTTTCAAAATTTAGTTTGCCCTCTAACTGTAAATGCATAATACTTATAGCCAACTTCTCGGTGTAAAAGAGCATTTTCAATAAATGTATGAAATTCGGGAACATAAATAATGTACTACTGCCCATTGAAATCTCTAACCAGGAAAGAGTGCGAGCAAGAGAATATTTTATTGGACACTTACATTTTACTGAAAAGAGCAAGTGTTTAAATTTACATGAAATAAGAATCCTAAAAAATCAAGACCCAGATCTGTCACTTCTGTCAGAAATTGCAGCGTTTATCCATCTTTAAGCAGAAATTGCATGGCAGCAGTCCGGGAACCAGTTCAGCCTTAACACTGCTCTGGGACAAAAGTGATTGGTGAGCCACAGCGTATCAATCTCTCGGCTACTACTGATCAGACGTTTTTAATTGTTCAGCGAACAAAAAAACACGTTGATCAATGCAACAGTCGAAGATATTCTGTATCCAATAAAACCAGGAAATTTCGGGTAAAATGCGGTTGGGCATTGTCTTGCTAAAAAAATCCTATGTCGGGTATGCAAACTTAGGGTGATTGAAATGCGATTTAATGGCACCCATGCCATCAACTTCATGAAATGGATCAGCATGAGGATGTCCAAAGCAAATTAGCAGCATCCTGTCACACACGGATGTGGCCATAATAGTGTTGTATACAGAACCCGGATTTTTCTGTAACTACGACGTGTCGCCATTGATATGTCCAGGTTTATCTTTGATCATTACTGAAGTTTATTTTGTCTATGATGTAGCATCAACATTAAATTAGAAGCCACAATCTGCTAAAACCGCTGGTAGAAGCCACTGGCTGCCCATACTGCAGCAAACATCATTGAACTGTTAGAGCAATAGCTTGAAATCTCGAGAATGACTCAATCTTTCAATTCACGGTTCGTGACTAGACAGATAAGATGTCTGATATCTCCAATATTGATGACTAGGGACACTCCAATTCGAAGACCATTTTAAAGTTCCAGCAAATAGGGACGATGTTATCGATGCGCAAACATTTTTAATAATGTATTTATGTTTAAGGTTTCAACTAAATGTCAACTAAAAAACTTCAAACTTTTTAACTTAAAACTTCCAACTTTTGTCAGCTTCATGACTTTTGTCTTTACTAGAAAAGAAAAAAGTATTTTAATTACCCCGATTGATACAAAATCTTGAAGGCCAAGTCTCTAAAGGTTTGTTGTACAAGGAGGAAGTTTTAAAGACCTGATCACTCATTACAGAGATTGATAAGAGCAAAGGAAACATTAAATTGATTTAAAACCTGTTTATTTGAGAATAAATCAGAAAAACGATTCCTTAAAAACCAACACTACAAACTTAGCTTTCGCATTCTTCAATTTATCCTTTGCTCTTATCGATGGTTTTTCAGGGTTTAAAAATCTATTTGTTCTTTTTCACTTAAATCTTCATTAATAAATCGTAACAAGGCGCATTATTTTTTTAAAAATTTCATTTGATGAAAAGTTTTCATTTCATTTTATTCTTTTTTGATGCTTTAAAGAGAAAAAAAATAGTTTTTAATAATTGTGCAGTCTGAAACAGATGGAAGCAACGTTTAATTACGCTTTTCTAGTTAAGAAAATGCTGGTTAATATTTTTTGAGGTTTTCTTTTTTACCGAAAACAGTGCCACATTGGAATCGCTATTCTGAGTGTTTCATCATATACCCGATTGCAATTAAATTGTTATTTCAAAATTAAAGACAGTTTAATTGTATGTGTGATAATAAGTTTTTTTTTTATACCGAAGTCATTAATAGTTAAACTTTCAATCAAATTTGTTTCTATACAAAATCGGTCAAAATAATTTAATAAGTCTTAGAAATAACATAACGTGTCAATAAAAATGCATTAGCTTTATAATTAAAATGAAGAAATGTCGACATGTTAACAAAATTAATCTCAAGTTTCTTAAAGATCCAATTCATTTTTATAATTTTGGGGTGATTTATCTACATAGCATGGGTACTTTGGTCAAGCAAGNTCAGTAAAGACTTTTGTTTTAAAGAAGATGCTCTTTTTTGAGAAGCCTTTATTCTTTTTAACTAAATCAACTGAACTGGATCAGCATCATTTTGACGTTCTAGACGGGTTGCCAAACTTTTTTGATCACCGACCCCTACATAATTTTTCGACATCTCCATCGACCCCCATGAAAGTAATTTTCTGTTAGTTAAAATAAAACTCTATTAGATATTGCGTTTGCACATTTATTTTATGATTTTGAACATTTATTAAAGTAATAGTACATAGTGTAACAATAGTTCTGTGAAAAATATATTAGTGTTGAAATACAAATACCTTAATATTTATGAAATAATAAGTAATAAGTAAGTAGAAATAATAAGTATTCGGTATAATAAGTAAAGTAACTACGGATTTATTGCTTCTTAATCAATGACATGGGTGTGCCTGGTGTTTTTTTTTCTGCAAGGTTCGTTATATTTGGTTCAAAATTGGTCAATTTTAATCTTAAATCCCCTTGAAACTCCACATTTAATTTATTTCTGTTCTTAGTTAAGATGGAATTTACGTGACTGAAACCGGCTTCAACCATATAGGAACTTGGAAATGCTATCATAAATGGCTGAGCTATTTCTTAAAGTCTTACATATTTTTGCATTATATTTATATTTGTCCAAAATTTGCTTATTGTTAAATTTTTAAAAAGTGTCTTTGCTTCAAATCCCCATAATAATTCAGCAAGCTCATCTTTCAGGTTGATACCCACGTTTTCAATTTGAGCAGAAAATGGCGCAATAATCCAATCAGGGATGTCAATGTTTTCCAAATCAACAGAACGCAGTTTAAAATCATCGCTCAATTTTTGAAGATTACCTGTATATATTTCCAAGTCTTCTTTTATTTCTAATTGTCACATATCTGAAAAATACTGATAATCCTTCGACCAATCGACCTTTCCGGTTCGGATCGACCCCCGCTTATGTTAAATAGACCCCTGGGGGTCTTTATAGACCACTTTGGCGACCTCTGCTATACAACATTGTTTTCACGTGACTGAAGCCGGTTTACACTAGTTTATGTTCGTGTATCAATTGGTTAACGTTGTAATGCAATTCGTTAAAAATAAATAAAAATAGGAAGTATATAAAAAGTCTCCTGAATAAAAACCCCATTACATGTATGTTTAAATATAAAAGTGTAGCATACAAACTCGTGCTAAACATGTAATTATTAAAACACTAAAGTGCATCGAATAATTGGGTTTAATTATTATAATATAATACTTGATATAATAAATATTCTATGATAATTGTTCCGTATTTGTAAATTACGCTCTTGGCGTTGGAGCACCTCCCTTGGCGCACGGTAATTCCGCCAACTTGGCAAGCACAACTTTTTCTGAACTCAGTCTCTGTTTGTACGCCAACACAGTCCAGGCATCTACACCCGAAAAAGAAAACGCCAATAAACTAATTTTTAATAAAAAACGCAGTTTTATTCTTCATTTACGCTACCTCCGCACAATTATATAATATATAGTCTAATTTGTCCAATCATCGAATTTGTATTATATATCGTCTAATTTAACCCATTGATACACGTATAGAAACAAGTGCAAACTGGTTTCAGTCGCGTAAAAACAATAAAGCTGTATAGTATAACCTCATAGTTAAGATGTCACATAGAATCTTATAGTGCATTTAATAATTTGGCCAAAAACTCTAAGTAATAGATTCCCCTGCATGTTTCTTTGGATTATTCATTAAAGTTTTAAGTTAATTTATTTGGATTATCCTTTTGCCATGTAGGATATTAGGAAAAAATCGCCTCAATTTGTAACGCTGTTTGATTGAATCGAACTTCTTTAAGAGCAGTTGGCGACTTGGCATTAATTATTATTTCAACCTCTGTGGAAAGTGGCCAACGAGAGATCCACTCGCGAAGAACTGCTATTATTCATGTAAGTAGTGGATTTGGAAGGACGCGGTTTCCTTCTTCTCAGGTGGAAAGCCCCGTAGATGAGAGGATTGATCATGGATGTCAGACTGCCGAAGAAGAAGACGAAAGCCTGGAGGTTTTCGCTTAGTTCTTCGTTCGGTTCCAAGAAGATAAATATAACCATTGTCACATAATAGGGTGTCCAACAGACCACGAATGTCAAAACTATGACCACTGTTATCATTAACGTCTTGATTTTGGCTTTGTGCAAAATTTTGTGCCGAGCATCTTCGAGTGGTGATCTGGTGAGGGATTCCGAGAACATGTTTTCTTGGCCTGCAAAAGATAAATTTTCATTAAATATTGATTTAACTATATTTAACCAATCGTTTTAATTAATATAACGTGTTAATACTTAAATGAGAAGAAAAACAACAAATAAAACCGTTTCGCTAAATCTTGAGAATCATTATCGAGGTCAAGAAGTGCAACGGAGGGATTAAAATTGATCAAAATTGGTTTTCTCTTATATGACAAAAATACATTCATCTTTCGTCAAGAGATACTTTTAATTTTTATTTAACTAGGTTTGAAACACTTAACTTCTTAAAATTCGTAATAAAAATTCCGAAATTTCAATTCTCCCCTATGAGTTCCAATTCTCAATTAAAAGCTTAGATGAATAAAAATGATTTTTTATTTTATTTTTTAAATGATGCAAATATTTTCAATGTTTTACATTTAATTTCCTCTCAATACTATTAACTAATATAATTTAAAAATGAAACGTAAAAGTTGTGGTCGCCTTATTACTATCACTGGTTACTCATTGGCCAAATGCTTTTTCTTTCTGGATGGACTCCGTTAAACGTTTCAAATCATGNTATGCAACTTGTACTTTTACTCGTTACTTTTTAAAAGTAACGTTGCCATATATGCTGGTTACTCATTGGCCAAATGCTTTTTCTTTCTGGATGGACTCCGTTAAACGTTTCAAATCATGGGTAGCAAAAACTGTCTCCATGGATGTTTGTCGTCGGATTGGTTTTCATATACTGTCTATGTACGTGTTTCATGACGTCACACAATACTTTTCCCTTCTTCAGCATTCATATTTATATTGAAATCACCTTCAAGACAGTAATTATACGTGAATAATAAAAAGAATAAAAAAATTCTTTAAATTATTGTTATGTAAATACATTAAAAAATGCCTGGTAGTGAAAAAGAAAAGAAAAAGAAAAACAGCAGTGGTTTCCATAGCAACGCATGGGCACTGTTTACTATTACTCTTGAAAGCACTTGAAAAGTGTGTGGTGGACGTAATCAAATCCAGATCAAGACCCATTTTGCCATTGGGTAAAAAAAAAATAATAAAGATAAGTTTTAAAGCTATTTTTTTAAACTTATCGTTAAGAAAACAAGTTTTAAAAAGTTACCGCAAAGTTACTTCTAAGAGATATGCTATGATTGATCTTCTCTCCTATTTTTACGCTTCTTTTTTTTTTAAGGCTCTGTCACCATTTGAAATAACGTTTTCTCGCGAATAATGTGCTATTTTCATAACTACTATGAGTTTGTAACAGTTAATCATGACTGTTATGATTAAGTTGAGCCTAAATTTAGCTAGAATATGCCCTCGATGCTAGAATATTGAGCGAGATGTCAATATGAAGGAAATATATTTGCAGAAGGAAATGTATCATATCTTTGCAAAATGAAGCAAGACGTTAATATAAAGAAAAGCCACTGTTTTCAGTGAATGAAAAGCGTATGTGAGGTCAATATGAAGGAAATATATTTTTAGAAGGATGTGAAGGTACATGTATACAGTCATACCTCGCTATGGTGAACCTCCAAGGGGCTGAAATTTCGGTTCACTATAACCGGGAGTTCGCGATATCCGTTCCGCAAACAATAATAACAATAAATGTTTCCGAACTCCTTCCTTTTATTATACATTATTTAAATTATGGGTCGCCAAACTTTCTTGATCATCGACCCCTACATAATTTTTCGAAATCTCCATCGACCCCCATAAAAGTAATTTTCTGTTAATTAAAATAAAACTCCCTTAGATACTGTGTTTCTACATTTATTTTATGATTTTAAACATTTATTAAAGTAATAGTACATAGTGTAACAGTAGTTTTATGAAAAATATATTAATGTTGAAATTTAAATACCTTAATATTTATTAAATAATAAGTAATTATGAATAAGTAGAAATAATAAGTAAAATAACTACAGTTTATTGCTTCTTAATCAATGAGATGGGTGTGCCTGGTGTTTTTTTGCAAGGTTCGCTATATTGGGTTCAAAATTGGTCAATTTTGTAATTTCCGTAAAAAAATACAAAGTGTGCTATAGTTTTGTCGTGGCCTGTACAAGTCCATATTATTAATGCTTACCTTCTTTTTTACATGTATTGATAATTAAAATTGATATCTAAGCTAAACGAATGGTTTTAACGAAACAATAACTAATTATTCAAAACTATAAAAGTTTTAATAATGACACTGCAAATATTCAACACTGTTTCACAGTTTGCAAAGATAGCTGAAACTGCGTATAATATTTGTGTTTGTAACGTCAATGCTCGTCACACGTGACATTTGGACAAGCGCACATATGCATATGAACCAGAAGTGCTGAGTTCATGCCACTGCGCTCTGGTACAGAAACACCTGATTCACCCGAATAAATGTACGTTTATTAATTCTGTTCTATAAAGAAACTGATAAAGTCAATTATAAAAACATTCACAAATTTTACATACTCAATGAGGTATGTGTGATTTGCGTATTAAGAACTGTTTTTTTTCGACCCCCATTCGATCCCCTGGCTCAGATCGACCCCAACTTTTGTTAAATAGACCCCTGGGGGTCTATATAGACCACTTTGGCGATGTCTGATTTAAATAAATGACCAAGTAAATAAATTACAAGAATGACTGAAAAATAATATGTAGTAACAAAAAATGTGTTAACTTGCTTTAATTTTTTATTACTCTTCGTCTTGTGTACAAAAAAAAATAATTAGTAATCTTTAGCTGATGCAGGGAAAAATTTGTCCAAAAAATCTGCTTGCGTTGGCTTTTGTGTAGGGATGGAAAAGTGAGATAAAAGAAGCAAACAAAAAAAAATGCTTGTCGCTACATTCCACTCTTTAGTTTCAAAAATCAATATAAGTATTTATTTTGAGTATTTATTTTAAGTATTTATTTTAAGTATTTATTTTGAAGTTTGTAGTTCGAAATTATTTAAAAAAATGATGAAAAAACATCAGTCGAAAACAGAAAAAAAAAGTTCATCATATCCAACTTCCTCACTTTTTTAGTTCACTGTATCTACAAAAAATAACATACGTGTATAGCAAGGCATGGTCCCTAGCATTTCGTTCACTATATCCGGGAGTTCACTATAAACCGTGTTCACTATAGCGGGGTTTGATTGTATTTGAAAAAGGACACAAGACATCAATATATAGAAAAGCCACAGTGTTGAGAAGATGAAAAGAGTATGTAATATAGTTTTTAATCTTTTAGATGGTAAAAAGGTATAACACAGGCATTATATGGGTTAAATTTGAAAAAATTGAGAATTATTCATTAGTTTTGGTAATTACTATCCAGGTGGAAAAACCTTGCAAGAATGGTTATTTATTTTTTTTAAAAAGCTTTACAAGCTTTACAAACTTTTAACTTAAAGCTAATTTTCACGCTAGTTTGGATATTTTTAAAAAAGTTAATAATTTTTAAAATTTAAAGTAAAACCGAAATAATTTTTTACTCCAAGGTGGTATAAGTACAGTAAAACCTTTTTTTGTGCGGTGGATAGGGACCGCATAAAAGAAATCGCACAAAAAAAAAATTCGAAAATTTTATAAATTCTGACATGTAATAAACAAGTTTGTACCATATACCACCAAAAACTTTTTTTATGCGGTTGATAGGGACCGCATAAAAAAAGTCGGACTCAGAAAATACATCAATGATTTATGAAATAGATAAGAGAATGCTTTCAATAAAATTAAATAATTAAATTAGACCTAAAGAAATTTTAAAAATATTTAATTCTCCATTGTACATATACATGTAGAAGTTTTCAAATTATACATTAAATAGTTTGCTGCTACTCGTCGTAATCCAAAACGCGCATCTTCTTGGAATGAATTGGTTGAAAATCGCTTGAAGATAGGATTTCGATGATTTGTTTTTTGGTACCATAAAGTCAGTGATCAGATAAAATAAAATAAAAATCATAAAAACTACATATAAATAGAAACAAAAGTAATTAATTTTTTTACCTTTAATCTCACTATAAAATGAATCCTTAATCTAATGAATCGTGTATAAAACTCTGAATACGAAGCGTATAGTATTTGAGATACACGCAGACGAGAATTTACAAAATAAAAATAACGGTTTAATTTTAAAATACTAAGTATTTTAACACAGCAAACGATTTTTTACTGATTTACTTCAACTCGTTTAGCGCAGAATAAATTTTAAACAGAAGAGAAAATGGAGTTGACGATAATAAATGAACTAATAAAAGTAAATAAACAGAGCATCGCGAAGTTCAGATACATCGTTGTCAAGGAGACCACGTAATCAGAGTTCGTCCACAACATGCATATGCACATTGATAGGAAACATTAAACTGGTGCTAACGCCGTTAAGATTCATATACCGCATAAAAATAATTCGACAAAAAAAATCGCACAAAAATAAAATCGCATAAAACCAATCGCACAAAAACAGAATCGCATAAAAAAGGACCGCACAAAAACAGGTCTCACTGTAATTTAAAATTTTACTTTTGTTTAAAGTGTGAAGTACTTAAACTTTATTTTCCTTGGCGAAAAGACACCGAGAAACATTGTTAAAGTCTCGAATCCAAATAATAAGAAAAATAATAATTCATTTCAAAAGAGCATGAAATTTTTTTTTACATCGCTAATTAGCTTTAATAGTTAACGCTATATATTTAATGTGTTTCTCAAACGATTAGTATTTCAAGTAAATATTAAGTCCTCACATTAATAATGCAAAAGCAAGTATAGTTTCTCTAAAGGAAGAACTCCCCTCTCTCACGAACTCTAAAGCTGTCTGCTGCTATGAAAATAAGAAATAGTGCATCTCAATTTGGGGAGCGTCTTTCTCCCCTGATACCCCTTCTCTCGCTTACCCGGAGCCTTTAAACAGTTTAACATCGTAACCATAGTCACTACCGCTACTGTAGACGAATGGCTAGGGGAATACTTTACATAGACAACTTATATTAGTTGTGATGGTTCAGGGGATAGAGCATTCGCCTTCCAAGGAGATGAAC